TTTTTTTTTTTCCTGCTTTTAATTCTAGTTTTCTTTCTTTTTTCAGTTTGTAAACAGATACCTTTATCAGGGACTCTTGGTACATACTGCCTGTATTTGCTTATTCATAATAAAAGGTTGAATTGAGTAGGAAAGAAATTTGATTGGCATTTTAAAACCATGGTATTTGAATTGAGGTATCTTCATTATACACAGTACTAGGATTCACAAGGGCTTTTCTGTGAAGCTTATACAATATACTTTAAGTGTACCCCCATTATCCCCTACTGCCCCATTCTTTCCTTTTCCTCCTCCTGTTAGTCCCCTCTGTCCTCTAGACAGGTTCACTTCTAATGTATGTCACATACACATACATGATTTTATGACCTGTATAAAATCTAAGAAGCACAGGGTGTTGGAGAGATGGCTTAGCTGTTAAGAGCACTGATGGCTCTTGCGGAAGACCCAGGTTCAATTCCTAACACACACATGGCAGCTAACAACCATCTGTAACTCCAGTTCCAGGGAATCCAGTGCCCTCTTCTGACCTCCTTGGACACTGCATGGCACGGGTGCACTTACATACATGCAGGCAGTACACATAAAAGAAAAGTAAACCAAAAAAAAAAAAAAAACTATTCTTTTTAAATCTAGGAAGCACAAATGAGAGAGAACGTGGTATTTGTCTTTCTGAGACTGGCTTCACTCACCCACTTATTTCCAGTTGCATCCATTTCCCTGAGAATGATACACTTTCATTCTTCTTAATGAGTATATAATCCACATTTTCTTTGGCCATTTCTCTGTTGTTGGACACCTAAGCTGGTTCCATATCCCAGCTATTGTGAATAGTGCTGTAATGGACACTGGTGTACAAGCTTGGAGTCCCTTGAGTGGTAGAGCTGGGTCATATGGTAGAACTATGTTTAGTTTTCTAAGAAACTCCCACACTGATTTCCACAGAGGTTGTATTAATATATTATCAGGGATCCTTCTGTCTACGACCCTACCAGTATGTGTTGTCATATGTTTCTTAAAGACTGCTATTCTAACTGGGGTGAAACAAAAGCTCAAGGTGGTTCTAAGTTGCATTTTCCAATGGTTAGTGAGACTGAACATTTTCTTCATATGCTTATTGGACATTTTTATTCATCTTTTGAGAGCTGTCAGTTTTTTACATTACCCGTTTACTGACTGGGTTGTTTGAGTTCTTATTTAATTTTTTTGAGCTCTGCATATTCTACACATTAAATCCTTAATATAGGTGTAAAGATTTTTATCCTGTTTTGTAATGTAAGACTGAAACTTTTAGATGAAAAACACTTCAGGATTATCATATTTTATTAGTACTAAAATCTTCATTGATTGATTGATTGATAATTTTGAGACAGGGCTCCTTGTAGTCTCAGCTGACCTGGAACTCACTATATAGACCAGGCTGGCCTTGATCTCATAGAGACCTACCTGTCTCTCTCTCCCTAGTGTTGAGATTAAATGTGTGTGCCTCCATGCCTGGCTTGATTTATTCATGTTTATTTTATGTGTATGGGATGTTTTGCCTGCATATATCTAAGTGCACTATGTATGTGTAATGCCTGCAGAGGTCAGAAGAGGGTGGTGGATTCCCTGACACTGGAGTTATGGATGGTTGTTAACTGCCTTTTGGGTGCTGGGAACCAAACATGGATCCTCTGCAAGAGCAGCTAATGCTCTTCACCACTGAGCTATCTCCCTAGTCCCTAACAGATGTATATTAAACAGAATATGATTTCCTTTGACAGACAGTAACTCTCCCGATGTCAACAGGGGCAAAATAGATGTAAGATCTTCCTAGGACT